CGTCGACCTCGTCCTCGTCCGAGGAGTAATCATAGTCAGAGTAATCGACGAAAGTCGGGGCAGCGAACGCGACCGTCTTCTTCTTCTTCCTAAGAGCAGTCTTGAAGGTGCTCTTGGACTTTTCCCCAGACTGATCTCCGAGCATTGTAGCGGAAAGCTGATCTAAGTCAGAAAGGTTCATCTCTTCCATGGAGGGAGCGACTACGTCTATATTCCTGTGCTTGTTCAAGCGCGCCAATCTCTCGGTCGGCGTTTCAATGTGCTCTGCCGGCAGATAGCCTATTGTTCATGTAAGGAGCTGCTCTTTGAACAACGCTCAAAGGGTCCTTACCAATGCTGCTGTCCTTCACCACACGGACCAGCCACCAGTAGCTGTTGCTGTCATCCAGCAACACCATGGTGTCGCCCTTGGTGGCATTTGCTTGGCCCTCGACGGTTGCGACAAAGGTGTGCAACGCGTAGACGAATTCGAAATCGATGTCCTCTGGTTCGTGTAAGCACTCGTTGCCCCAGCCACAGGCAATAAACCTAGAATCATCAACAAGAGAAACATCGCCGTCATCATCATCTTCATCATCAATAGAGGGTTCGTATGGGATCGTAAGCGGGATGCCGTCATCGTCAAGTCCACCAACTGCCTCGTCTCTTTCTGCCCTCTCCATCTCGGCACGCCGCTGCGCAAAGTCGTCGTACACCGGTTCTCCAGTTTTCCGCACGCGAAGCGGACGAACCACAATGGGTCCATGCTGTGCAACACTCTGCAAGTCAAACTTGGCTGCATGATTGCTGCTGTTTTCCTCCTGCCAGTCAAGCCCGTCGTTGCATTCATCGCTGTTTTGTTCGTCGTCATAATATTCGTCGGTATACTGTTCCCCGTCGAATCGGTCGTCGTCGTCGTCGGTCGTATTGCGATCCTATTCGGGATACTCACTGCGAAGATGATGATGATGGGTTGATGTCTTGACAGATGCCTTGCTATGCTGCCAAGAGAGATGCGCTGGGAGGTATTCAAGGGATTCGGTATAAGGAGAAGAGGACCTTGCCTCGCTGAAGGAAGGGGAAACGGGGGAGGCGTGATCTCGCATGGCGGGTAGAGAGTCGACTCTACGCGGCCATGATTGCGGAGGCATAATCGAAGTGTACCCACCATCTTCAATCGAGGGCGAACTCGAAATCTTGTCCATCATGTCATCGTCGTCCATGCTCTCGTCGGTGTCGTCCATGTTCCCGTCGTCCGAGACACCTCCATTTTGTGCGACAGCCAGCGCATCTTGCTGTTGTTTTTTGCTTGCGTCGTCCATTGTGCTCCCAGTGAGCTTCCTCGAGACCTCTCCCGCGAGATCGTCTTCGTCGGAGATGTCGTCGTCGTCGGCGTTGGTCCAAGATAGCCTCGGGCTGCGCGCTTGATCTTCGGCGGATTCCTGGGCGACTTCTCGAAGAGTCTCGGCCTGGTGCGGACCGAACGAGCCGTTGGGCGCCCTGCTGTGGTCTTTCGCTGAGGGTGCTTCCGGGTTTTGCAGATCGATGGTGTCTGTGAATGCGACAGAGGAGGCCAATGGTCAGCGTGACATGTCAAGCAAAGAAACAAAGCTACCGAGTATATTTTTTTCCTTCCTTCTTCCTCTTGCTCTGGCCAAAGGGGGGTGGGAGGAATTCTGTGAAATTGATCGTCCGCGGTTCCAGCCGTTAGACCAAGACGGGTTCAGGCTAGAGCTCAGACACAGAAAACCCAGAGCCGAGTAGGAAAGGGGGAGTTTTGTGTTTGGGGGGGAGAAATTATGTGGTGCGACAGGAGGAATGGGCAGCAGGCGCAGGCGCGGTTGTTTGGGGGTCGCATAAACTTACCAGCGCGAATAATGTGAGGTCTCGTCATGTTGGATCAGGTCGTGGGCCAGCACAGCCAGCCGAGACGGTTGTGGGAATTGTGATTTTGTGACGGGATTACTCGAGTCGTGAAGTGGTATGTTGTGGTGCGGCGTATGGATACACAGTTGAGTGTGCAGTGCAGACAAGAGGTCGTTCCGTTCACAGTTCCGTCTGGATTATTTTTCCTTTGCGCTTGACGAGCCAACCCCCTTTGGACCCGTCAGTTGGTACGTTGGAGAGACCCTGGTCGGCAGACGACGTATGGAGGACGGTTCGGAAGTGTATCATGGAGCGAGGGTGCCAAAAAAGCTGGGGCGGTTGGCAATTGCCAAGAGAATGGGATGGGCGAAGCGTACGGAGTATGCGTAGCGTGGTCTGGCCTGGTGTGGTCTGGTCTGGAGAAGGGAGGTGGGAATTACTGACTGTGTGTGACAGTAGTAGAGGTACGGAGTAGAGTAAGGCGTGCCGGTGCTGGGCGTTGAACGGGGGTCGAAATTGCGACTCCGCTGTTTCGTCGGCTGAACAGGGACGCCAGGCTGGGTTCTAGCGGCGCGCGAGATTGCCGTCGGGGCTGCCAGGGTGCGGCGTCACTGCGGGAAGAGGGACGATGATGAAATGGTTGGACGAGGTTATGCGAGGGATTTCGGAAGTCTGTTGGAATTCGGAGCGGATGAAAAGCTCGGCGGTCGTCGCCAGTACCACACGATTATTGGGAGGCAATCAAGCGATGTAGTGAATTCGGATAGACAGCCGGCGGAAGGTCGTGTGCTCAGTCAGGCAGAGTACTGTCGGGGGCCAAGTTGAAAGTAAGCGATCAAGGAGTGCGCTGCTTGGTGAATGGTGGTGGTCGACCAAGGAGGGGCGGTTGGTTTGGTCGGCTTGCTGGGCTGGGCTGGCAAGGAGCCGGCTATGAATAGAACAGGGAACGGCGCAGTTGGTGAAGGAGGCGCTGACGAGTTGAGGCGAGTGCCAGGTAACCGAAGTTCCGTGCTGTGGTTGTTGTATCCTGTATCATGTATGTGTACCTAATAAGGCGAGCTGTAAGGCGAGGGGATGCTCGAGAAAAATAATTAAAAGGAGCGACAAGGGCTGAAGAGGATGTCAATGGAATGGATGGTAAGGTTAGGTAGGAAAACGGTGCGGACTGCAAAATCAATTCTGGGCCCCAAAAAAGTGCCCAAGATGCTGGATTCGGTAAACGTCAAGCCGACAAGAAAAAGAGAGAAGACGGGAAGGCAAGGAAGTGGGAAAGATGTGTTCAAAAGTGTGTTTAGCTTATTGTGTGCCGTGTGTGTCGTGTGTGTGTTCTGTGTGTGCGTGTGAACCCAGCGAATATGACGGAGCAACAGCCCGGGCGGGATAGCTCTAAGATGGGAGGAGGTATCCGCAGGTACGGAAGGAACTTCGAGGAACCTGACGGGAACTAAGGGTGCGAATCCAGCACGGGGAACACGGGGGACGGGAGAACTTGACGAGGCTCAGAGAGACAGAGAGAAAGAAAAAAATGAACAATCCGAAGCTTGCCAGGTCCGGAACCCCTTTGCTGTGCTGCCGCCGCTAAAACAGCCCAAAATTCAATTTCATGCGAGAGACGCTGCTGCAGGAGGGAAGGCCAGAGATTGGGTAGACGAGAATCAACTTGTTCCTCCCGCGCGCTGCCGTGATAGGTGATGGGTGCAGATGCAACCTCGACATGTTGTGCACACCCATACACACCAAGTAGTCAGGCACAATGTACTTGGTACTAATCTTGCTGTACGGAATTCTGTGTATCCGTACGTTCAGGGGAAATAGCATGTCTGCCCGATGCTGTCATGTCTTGCTCTCTCACAAGCCTCTCACGCCTCTTTCCCGCCTCGGCCTGTCGACAACACATCTTGAAAAGTTCAGATTGTTCAGAATCAAATAACAAAAAAAAAAAAAAAAAAAAAAAATAATAATAATAATAATAAAAAATGCGGCAGTGAAATGAACTTTGGAGACTCGACACCCTGCGAAATGTTTGGCTGGGGTTTGTGGACTTGAAACAACTGGGAGTCGACCAGGGCCATGCCGCTTTCCACCTCAGGAACCAAGTATTCAAGTACATCTTGGTCACTGGTGTATGTACTCCAAAAAAGTACTTACCTGTCTACCTAAGATAGTTCACTCTGAGGTGTAGCCAGTCATTATCGAGAAAATCAGAACTCCTTGCCAGCTACGAGTTCCATCTTCTTTCACCCGCTTCCAGAAATCTCTGAGGCTGCCTCTGTCTTCCCGACTCTCGTCACAGATTTTCTTCTTCTTCTTCTTCTATTCCCTCTCCTGCTCCTGAAGCTGTTGTTCTGGTGGCCCCTCTCTCTCCTCGACATTGCATCACGGTCCGTTCGCCGTTTACATCTGGGCCAACTGTCTAACAATGTACCGTTATCGGAGACGAGGTCTCTTAGTCATATTCCCTGCACCGGAAGTATACCCGCCAGTGTTAGTCGAATTTTGAAAAAGGAGGTCTGGCCCTGGCCCCTGGGTGGGAGAGTATTAAGCTCTCGGGCCTGGTCTCTGGGTCTTGGGCTCCTCAGTCCTGGACTCCTGGGGCCATTGGGGAAACGTCCATTCGCACTGGACCAACTTTCAGACTTGTCACCTAGTCCACATCCAGCGCAGCTAGAGGAATACCTCCAACTCCAACCGAAACTGCCACCTCTCGCGCACATCGTTTGTATCTTCCTATTCCGGCTCTACGAGTTTACCCACCTTGAACGCTACTTCCGACCTCCCACTTCCACTTACGCATAGTTCCACCTCATCACAATCCGGATTCAGGTAAACAGCTGCCTCTTGCCTGGGCCAAGACGTCGTACAAACATACGCCTTCGTCATGCTTCTCATGACCAGCTCGTCACGGGAATTAAAGCCCGACCCGCTGAAACTCTCAATACTGGAGACGGGAGACCTCTGCCAGCGTTCTAGACAAGCCGCAAAGCCGCTGCCATCATGTAGGTACGCGCTTCAGGCTCACTTTCACGCATCGAGAAATGTTCCCGGCGTCGATCTTTCCAATTCGTCAACAACTTTCTGCCCGTCTCCGGCGATCGACATCAATGTGATTTGTCTCCCTCCTCGCTTCCTAAAGCATTATCATCCCTCCGTCAACCATGATGAACCATCCTGAGCAACCACCGCCGCCACCATCGCCGCTCATCCGTGCGTCACGGCTGCTGGCCCGTTTCGATGTGGCTCGTCCCAAACACCAGGTAAACTTCACATCCACTCCGTTGCAAACGGCGCCGGTCGAGAAATCAGCCTCCAGATCCAGACCTATGGCGTCGACGGCGCTGACTGTGGCTTTTCTCAGCTTCTGTTCGGACCCGAGCCTGACACGTCCCCCGCCAAGATATCCCTCTGTAAGTCCGTCAGAGACGAGGAATGTGAAGTAATCACCACAGCATACCAGTTGCCTCGCAAACACCATCCGAGACTCATCGCGTCCTCCTCAAGCTGAAGAGACCGGTCTGCTTTCAATCTCACCACCACACTTTCCCACCAACCAGTATCCGCCGTTGTTCACCTGGCACACGCCCGCAGCAGGATCCTATTTCCATCAACCGCGGTACGGGTCTCCGTATAGACTCGCTCACATCCTCACCGGCAACCCGTGCGGGGGCCTGCACCCCCCGGAAGCTTGCTGAGCACGAGCAACAACAAGACTCTGCTCGCGTTTACGGCTGCAGGCGAAAGTCAATTACCTTCGTCCGAAGTTTTGTAAGCAGCGTAAAGGTTGCAGGCAACACGCGGAAGGGGGGGGAAAAACATCAGGAACAAGTGTGAAGAGTGAAAAGAAGAAAAACAAAAAAGAGCCTCATCTGAAACCCAGGCTTCCTCGGGACCGAACATCTGGGGCCCGGCGCAAACGCACATGCCCGCTCGTCCCATCAAACTCTAGTGGCTTCGGGCTAGTCGTCCCTTATTCGCTCCTACACGTATCTCTCAAACTGTGATTCCTTCAAGAGCTCAGCCAGCATCGTGATGCATGGCGAAGGACGCGCGCACCAGTCATCCGAAGCTCGCTCGACGAACCTTTTTGATGGGAGAGAGAGTGAATGGAACTTTGCATGATACGGGTTGTTGAATGATTCATCGAATATGCACTCCGCGGCGGCGGCATACAGTCCCAAGCTCGGTGATACCTCATCTGTTACATCGGATCCAACATAGCTGTCACATTAGAACCGACATGAGAAGAACAGATCATTCCAAGAGATGCAGGCTCGCCGTCCTTGGGGGCGGCGGTGTACCTTGACTGGCTTAACTAGGTATGTAAATACCGACTCAACCTCTGCATGCCCAAGGTGCGAGATGTCTCACCGATACTAAAATATGCTATTTTCAGGGGTAAACATATCAACGACCTACCTCTCCCTGCGCCATGTCTCTCGGTCCCGAGACATGCCTTAAATTTTTTTTAAAAAAGTAAGTACCCAGTGGTTTGAAAGCGAAGCGTTTTAGCAAACAGAGGATTCATAAGTGATACGTGAGATACTTGATCACAGTCTCAGGATACGAAGGAAAGGCGTCGTTTTCGACGGAACATCTCTTCCCCGTCCGAACTACGTGGCTCGGTGCCTTACTTTGAACCTGTAGCCTTCCATGACCTTTGTAACGATGTGGACGGGAGCCCATGATGTTCGTCTGAGCATACATTTGGGTGCAATCGGTCTGACGAGCCGATGGACCATGTTCTCAGTGAGCTACTCCTGCGTCTGTTATTGGTGTGAGCCATGTCGGGTAGTCAGTCCCTGCATATCATCCATTATATTCTGCGGTGGGAGAGGATCAGAGCGCGGGACTTGGCATCGCAAGATTCTCTCGTTGAGAGATGCCAGAGCTTGATAGTCGAGAGCCTGATATCTTGCAAACAATGTCGCTGCGTCCAGCCTGGGCACGGGATGACTTCTTGTATTTTCCGACGGCCTGGTATACTGCCCATGATACTTGAGTACTGGCTATGAAATGGGTATGATGAGAGTCTGGTTCCCTAAGGGCTATGAACTGCTGCCTATGCTGTTGGCACCGTCATATTTAAGTTGTCGTCAGTTCTCATATTGCTGTATGAAGCTTATCAAAGCAGGGAAATAGTAGGCAGTCTGAATCTGATAATTGACGGCCATTAGGCCATAATATGCAAAGTTTATCGAGTGTCTAGTAGCCTAGTAACCCTACTACCCTTGATCCCAGTCGGCAGGAAGTGTGGTCTGTGAACGAAACGACCAGTATAAGAGAAGACTGGCGTGTCAATTATCCTAAGCTCCGGCGATTTTTACCTCATGTGATCGAATCCAACAGAACAGGACTTATCAACTGGCTAATGATGTAGTTGTACCATATTGCTATGGAGTATGTATCTGCTCAAGTAACACGATCTGGCCGGAAGTCCAGATCTGCTCAAACCAAGCAGATGGTCCATTGACTGATTGATGCACATTCTATACACGGGAAATCGAAGACAAATTAGGTGAATTATTAGATGTCATTTTCAAAGAGTGTGTAGCCTATTAATCCTTGCGCCAGTATTACCTAGTCCCTAACATTATAGTCCCTTGATATGCTGATCCCAAGTGTCATCACATTTTCATGCGAACCAGTTCGCCTCATCCTTATGTCGAGTCTTGCTCGGCCGAATGAAGGGCCAGCTTCAAGCTACCCCCAGTCCCAACATCCCCGGCTCAGCCAAGATACCCTACAAAATCGGGTATTCTTAAAAGGTAACATCGGGACTGGCGCCAATGATGAGAACAGGGTTCAGCTTGGCCTGAATGTTGCGGATACGATCAGCAAGGCCGTTGGCACTACCAGCAGCGTTCGCCACGGCCGTGAGCGCAGTCGAGGCCGCGGCGCCGACGGTGCTGAGCGCGATCTGGAGCGCCAGGTTGGCCTGGGTGTAAGCGAGCGTGTATGCTGCCTTGGCGGCGGGGTCGGCGACGGCGTTGGCCTGGGCCTGGATGTTCTGCAGCTGGGTGGTAGCCTGGCGAGCGAGCAGTTGGGCCTGGACGACGACGTCCTGCGCGATCTGGACGACCTCGGCCGTGGGAATGGAGGGTGGCGCCGCGGAGGTCGCGGACGGGGCGGGGATGCCCGACGGGACAACGCCCAGGAGATTGCCGACGACGGTGCCGACTCTGGTGCGAATGCTGTTTGTGTTGCTTGTTATTTGGCGGATGACAGCGTTGACCTGGTCGGTTCTCTGAAAGGGGAAAGGGTGAGTATGGCTTTCGAGTTCTGGGAGGAGTTCAGTATGAGGGGGGATTGGACTTACATCCTTTACTGTTGTTCCGACAGTCCTGGTGAGGTCGCCGGTCAGGGTTGTCGTCTTGCCGAGGTCGGTGCTAACGATCTTCAACGCGGTGTAGAGCGGGTCCGTCAGTTCCCCTGGGTTGAAGACGACTTCGGGAAGAACGACGGTGCCCGGTGTAATAGTTGCGCGAGGGAGGATGGCTGCTTCGACTGAGGAGAAGGAGAGGACGGCAACCGCCGCGGTAAGAGCCTTGGTGTACATGTTGGCCTTTGAGCGAATTCTTGAGAAAGCAGACACTGCTAAGGATTAAAGTGAGAGGAAAGTGAGAAATGTGATTGAGGTTGTAGTTGCGAGTTGTTGATGATCGGAGGAGTTGTCAGCTCTGGGTAGACGATATTGAGGCCTCTTATAGGAATTTACGAATGCTGCGGGACAGGCGATGTCTTCCAGACCGACTTAGTATGTTCAATATCTGAAGTCTCGCAATCCGCAAGTAATGACTCCGATGCCACGATGACGAGATGTTTGACCCTGAGGTTGCGAGTTGAAATCCTCATCCGGATCGACTTCTCCTCGTCAAAGGCAACTCTCGATGCCAAAGCTCCGATGTCCTCTCTCGTCAAAAACGTGTTGTCCATGCCGATATCCGTTTTCAGGATTGGACTCGGTCGAAAGAAGCATTGGAGATCATCTCGGAGTAGTTGTTGATCTCATCAACGATTGTCCCCCGGATTGACGTCGGGTGCCAAGATTGATCAGCGCTCAGTGCCGTGGTAGAGAGGTCGACTTCTCTTCCCGGCGTGGATGATGTTCCTGCCAAGATGCTAAGGGATATACGGATGCTGGAAGCGTCAGATACCAAGCTTTCTTGGCGATAGGATCGCAGCAAGACATGGAATGTCTGTTTTGACAGTAACCAATAGCTTTTCACTCGTGGCAAGCATGACCAGACACGTTGATACAAAAATACTACCCGTCGTCTTGAATTGAAGATCTTCATGGTGTGTTTAAGCTCAGGGACACTATTCTAGTTCGCGCCACAAGATGAAGTAAGTGGTGTGCTAGAAGACTCTGAACTAAGCGTCAGCAAAGATGAATACCTATTGATCTATGAGCTAGGTGTAGTAGTATAGTCTGTACGGAACCACAAGACGTAGCAAGAACCACTTCGTACCGCGCGTGCACTGTATGATCCAGGGAACCAGCCATAAACGCCACCTTATCGGCGCCATGGTTGAGCCTCACTCATGTAGACTCTTTCCTAGCTTTGCGACAGACTTGAGGAACGCAGGAAATGGCGTCATTCCCGAGTCCGACAGTGTGTGTCTTCATTGAAGAGGTTTCCCCATCTACAAAAACCGGACGGAGATGATGTCTCCAGGACCGGAAGGAGATTCGGAAGTGTCTCACATAGGAACCAAACGGTTGAAGGCAAGATCAACGAACCCCGCAAGCGCAGCTATATCCGGCTCCGACGAGAATAAGCAATGCTTTGTGGTAGTCCGAAAGACAGTGTCTCACACGCAGGATATTGATATTCTTGGTCCGCAAACAACGGCCGGCTCGACAGTTCTCTACTCGGAGGGCTTCTTGCTCATCATGTCGCGATCTGTGCCACGGTCCGAAGGGTTGATCGGCCCGGTTCTGCCAGGCGTTATGCTTAATTCTTCTTGCCCCGCCCAACGCCAGTCCTACGCATGGCTAATTCGTGGGAGGAAACTTTGCTTGCGGCAAGAGAATAGTATCGAATCCTTTGAGCCTCTTTTGAGGCGCCATGTCCAAATTATATCACCGAGCTACAAGCTCGTTTCCGCTTTCGACATATCCCCCTGATTACGTGCATGAAGCTTGTGCGAGGAAAGATAAGCTCAAGGATTGACGGTTGAATGACCCTCGCCTCCTCGGAATCACGGATAGAGGGTGGAGAGAGAAGCGGCCAGACTCGGTTCGACCTGGTGAGTTGGCTAATTTAGAAGTGTATCTGATGATCAAGATGAATCGATGCGCCTAAGATCGGTGTATCGAGGTACCTTAGCTACCGAGACTGCAAGCAAAACGTGAATTTTGGAAACTCATCAGTGGGGAGGTCGGTGTCCTGGATCTTTGTGGCAAGCTTGATTGAGGAAAATTTTTTTGAACGCTCTTCATATGCACAACAGAGCATTCTGACTCCTGAGAGACGAGGCAGCAGCAGTGACACATGCCCGGAGAATTGCTCCGGACCGCAAGGAGCATGGCGGGCAGGCTCCTGCGAACGCGCTGAATTATAGGAAAGGCCATTCCTGCTCTTTCAGAATGTCTAGCCTCTCATTAAAAAAATCTGTTCCTCTACACAGCATCTGGTGTGCCCTGAAGACTTCGCATGGTGTCTCATCATCTCGCGAGCCACGTTGGGAATGTGGGTTGAAGAGACCATTTGTCGCTGAAAAATTGCACATTATCTTCTTTCAACCACTGCCTTTACCAGACAGCGTCGCGCATCAGCTTTCTATAAGAGATACTGGCAAGTTGTGTCCGTGTAAGTGAACATCGAGGTTATGCAAACTGACCGCGATAGGACTCCGAGGGCTCGTAACCCCAGATCAGTCCATCAAGCAACACTCGCGTGCATACCCGGCGGGAACGAGAAGACAGCTAGCCCAAATGATGTTGATCGTCAAGGCCTCTGTTCGCGCGGGAGTCATCTGCAATGCTCATTGCTAAAGGAGAGCTCGGGTTGGCAAGGAATTAAACCTTAGGCCACCCCCATCGATCTTAGTCAACGGGAGAACACAGCAAGCTTTCTGAATTAACCATGACAAGCTTTTGAATCATTTACGACAAGAGACCATGTGCGGCCCCATCAAGGCCGACACACTACCCTGCCTCCCTCGCAACTGGGTGCTGACCCAGCAGGCCTCAGTCTTGAAGGATTCACCTCAAAGCGCCAAGCAACATGTTGCCCATTTTCAGGGTGTGATGTTCAAGTCGAGAGAACATTAGAAACATGAGCAGTAGACGTGGTAGACCGCGAACAAGCCCTCAGAACTGCAACTTGTGATTGCAAGTACCATCCTCATGGTCGATATGAATACTCCTGGAGAGATCGGTGGAGTGCTTTGGAGTGAGGCTCGTGAGACAAACCCGCTTGTAACGCAATACATGGTATGCCATGCGTACTGGTCAAAGACAGACAAAATTGAGGGTAGCTGAAAGTGCTCAAGCAAGTCTATGAGCCCATCGGAACATCCCATGTAAAAGGGTTCAAGAGGCCGTTGAGGGGAGCGATGGCGAAGCGAGAAACAAAGTCAGTCAGCCGGCAGGTTGGAATAACCTTACTTTCCAATCGACCGATCCCTCGCATCTAACTCGCTACTCCTCAGAACGAATTCACCACTCACAATCCTTCTTCCCCTGTTCGATCACTTCAGCGGACCCTGCCGCACACACCTCAGCCACCACCCATATTAGTTATGGCGCCGTCCACCAATCGATGGTCACACCCATCATACTTGACGAAACTCTGTGTCCCACCCAGCCACACTCGCAACCTCATACTGCTCAGCCACGCCTACGTCACCGCCCTCACAACGAGCTCTTGGCATACAACACCACACAGCACAAGCGACCCTTCCAGCCAAGTTTCCAAGGGTGATACCATTGTGTCACTGGTGCAATTCAAGAAAAGGTTGGGGAAGAAAAGCAAGCCAAAGGGGGAAGGGAGACGAAGGCCGGGTGTGGTCTGCTGCCCCTTCGTCACTGGTTCGTACGTGGAGGGAACCGACGTCTAACTAGGTATTTAATACAAGCCCGTTCCTTCTTGGCCGCTCAACCATAGTCCGTGATCCATATCAACCACACAAAACACAAGCTCTCCACTGCGAATAACTTCGACAAGAAGCACAAGGTATATTGACACTCCTCAAGTGGCAAACCAGCGGTCTGCGCACCCTCGGACCTTGGACTGATAATCTCTGCAGCAATTTCACACCTACACAACCTCCTACAAAGTACCAAACAATCATCATGCCCTTCTTCTACTCCAAGCCCATCGGCGGCCGCAACTTCGGCACCTCCGTCCACGCAGACCGCCACGGCGTCCACCGCGGTCCCTGGCGCATGCGCATCGGCCGCTTCAACTGCTTCCGATAGAGTCGACGCCACTCTCACGGCGTAAAGGTGTCGGTGCGATGAGCCTTCGGACAGCAATGTCGAGAATTTCGTCCTCGCTCTAGTCCTCTCCGCGTCTTCCAGGATACGACCTGAGTTGTCATCAGAATGAGACGACCAACTGAACAAAGCCCCATTCAACGCCTTTTTTCTATTCTTATTCCTCTTTTCAACTGTCACGAGATCATGGATACCAGGAGTCTGTATTTGCGTTTATGACGGTTTTGACGACGGGAAAGCGAGCGTTTCCTGTCATTCTGTCCTTATTGAGTTTGTCTTGCGCTGCGATCACAAATGGAGATTGATCGTTTTGCGGATGGGTGGAATGATGCAATGCATACCTAGATAATACATTACTTCTTCACAACCTATTGTTAATCAGTGAGTTGTTGTGATATGCATCTGGTGTAATTAGTAGTCAGACCGTTTCCTTGGTGCTTGTCAGTCCAAAGTGTACCAGTTAATCTGGTGCTGTTTATGGCAGGCAAGCTCGAGGGCAAAGCTTATGTCGTCATGGCTTAGTAGGCACCCCCGCGTCTACTTATCGTCCGGCGAGTTTGACTGTGGAAATGGATGGCGGGAACGGCGGTTGAGCCGATGGTCAGACCTGCCACGGGGAAACGATTGACGACTAGACGACATATTAGTTAGGCCGGTGAGGCAAACTTAGGTTAGGAACAATTCTCCTAAGTGAAGGTAATGCAGATGACCAAGCAGACAGAACGACTTAGCCGGCAAGAACAGCCGGACAGCAAAATAAGCACATGGAACGTCACTGGTGCAGAGTACAATACAGGGGCCAAAGGGGTTGGTGATATTCTCGAATTACCGAGCATATAAAGGATCCTGTTTTCCATCCCACCCAACGCCTTATTCTTGTCAATCGACGGTAGTAGTAAGAAACACACGCCTGAGTGAACGTCAAGTCGTTGAATTTTGCTGCGGTTGTTTTTTTGTATTTCCTAGCACAACGGTACGAGCCATGCCAAGCCGCCAGCCCTGAATCATCGCAGAAACCGTTTCCGATGCATTCCCGTTCCCTGGATATGAGAGCACAACGCAAGTAACCAGGCGATGAAAACCGAACCCCCTCGCCCCGAACAGCTGGTTTT